GTGTGTGTGTGTGTGTGTGTGTGTGTGTGTGTGTGTGTGTGTGAACTAGTTCTTGGGCTTTAACTCAGAACCCTGGCATTGTCCCTTAGCTTTTTGATGTATTTTGCTTCAGGATGGTCAATGGTACACTCCACTTGGCCTTGATATTATAGTGGGGGAGGGCACCTTACACTTTCGATGGAGATTGGTCATCAAACACGAGTCAGAAGTCAAAATGAGTTACTATCTTGGTTAAAAATAACGGAGATAAGCTGGGTACCAATGGCTTATGCCTTGTTACTCAGGAGGCTGATAAAGATCACTGTTCAAAAGCTAAGCTTTCCTGGCTGGAAAGTCCCTAAGATACTTATCTCCAGTTAACCATTAAAAAGCCAAAAGTGGCTATGTGACTCCAGTGCTAGCCTTCAGCACAAAAGGTCAGAGGCATTGCCCAGGTCCTGAGTTCAGCCCAAAGACCAGCATATACAAAAAAAATATTGGAGGTAGCCTAGCCCCAATGGCTCTTGCCTATAATCCTAGCTACTCAGAAGGCTGGGATTTAAGAATCATTGTGATCCAAGAATCACTATTCAAAATCAACTTGAGCAGAAAAGTCCATGAGACTTTTATCTCCGATTAACCACCAAAAATTTGTAAGCAGAGCTGTGGCTCAAGTGGTAAAGTGCTAGACATGAGCAAGAAAGCTCAGGGACAGTGCCTAGGCCCTGAGTTCAAGCTGCAGACTCAGCACATACACAGAAAGTATATACTGGAGCCTAGGGTGTAATTCAGGAGTAAAGTGTGAATGTATTAGACTTTGGCAATGCAAAGGTAGACTCTGGTGGCTCACATCTAGCTATGCAGAAGGCTGAAACCTAGAGGATTGTGGTTCAAAGCCAGCCCAGGCAGAAAAAACTCAAGTGTCTATTGCCCAATTAACCAGCAAAATGTTGGGCTCAAAGCATGGCTCAAGTGATAGCGCACCATCCATGAATGAAAAAACCAAGTGAAGTCAGGTGCTGGTGGCTCACACCTGTAATCCTAGCTACTCAGAAGGCTGAGATCTAAGAATCGTGGTTCAAAGCTAGCCCGGGCAGGAATGTCTGTAAGATTCTTATCTCCAGTTAACCTCCAGAAAACTAGAAGTGGCACTGTGGCTCAAGTGGTAGAGTGCCCGCCTTAGCTGAAGAGCTCAGGGACAGTGCCCAGGCCCAAAGTTTAAGCCCCCCATGACCAATAAAAAGAAAATGGAAAAAAAAATTTAAAAAGCCAAGTGAAAGTATAAGACCTCAGGGTCTTGTTCAAACCCCAGTACTGGTGGGGAGAAAAGTGTCTTTCCAGCACTAGCACTTTATAGTGAGATCCTCCTGTGTCAGCAGTCCATCTTCCTCCATTGTGACCCTTCCACTTTCCCTGTACCCTTTTTCTCATCCACCTGTGTTCCTTAGCTCCAGTTTCTAGAGCTCATCTCAGGATTGGCTCTCTGCAGGACCAACCAGCCCCTGCCATTATCACTCTTTCTGTGAGGCCATTCAACCTTTTCCTCTTCCAACTCCCTGTCATGATTCATTAAATCACACATACATGGAGCACCCAGCAAAGGCCCAAGAGAAACCTGCTCCATTTTCATGGAGCTTCATTTCAGTGAAGAGCACAGTAAGTAAACAAGGAGAGCAGATACTTTTCCATAGAATTCATCCCATTATTTCAGAGCTCCTGTCTGCATCTGCTTCCTAATGTTTGTGAGCGCAAGGCTATGCACACTAGCTGGTTATATTTGAATTCTTAGATGATAGGCACTAAAAAGTCATCCTGTGTCCATCACTCTTTGGAAACTGCCATAGATCAAACCAGAATTCCTTTCTCAGGCTCAGCTGCCCTTTCTCCGTCCTAGTCACACCCTCTCCATCCTCCTTCGCCCATCGTAAACTCTTCTCTGTTCGCAGGACTTGGAGGCACCAAGTACATCTCCTTTGAAGAACGGCAATGGCACAACGACTGCTTTAACTGCAAGAAGTGCTCCCTGTCCTTGGTAGGGCGGGGCTTCCTGACAGAGAGGGATGACATCCTGTGCCCTGACTGTGGGAAAGATATCTGAAGGCAACACGGAAGTGCATAGCTGTGGTCTCACACAAAATTTATTTGTTTTCTCTCAACCAGGCAACATTTGTGTTCTGGTGCTCAGCAGCCACCTCAAGTCTTTCCACTCTCACCACCCAAGCTATTTTCATGTTCACTGAAGCCCTTTTCATCCTTTGTTCTAGTTTGGCCCTAGGAGAAAGAAAGCCCTTCTGTAAACCCTGGGTTTGAGTTGGTTTGGAATTTTTGTAATCAAGGAAAACAAACCCAACTGTAAACTCCCTGTTGAATGACGTCTTTATAAATGCATCTTCCTTTCACTGCCTATTTAATTTTTTAAGTGCAATTAACATTTGTCACAAACTTGAAAGTTTGCCCAGGAGTTGGTATCTGCAGCTCTATAACTTCCTGTTATGTAAAGCCAAGAGCAAGATTCTATGACTTAGAATAAAATTATTTAGAGCAAATTCTTTCATTGGCGTGGGTATGTGAAATAACAATTAGATGGTGAGGTTCTCAGAGTGAATAATGAATGGTTTTTTCACATGGCCCAGAGATTGAAGTGCAGGTTTCAGTGCATCAGGGTGATGTTAACTGACATTCTATCACACCAGCTATTTAAAACTTAGTACTGTACACTGCCTGCCATGCCATTTTCTCTCTCTGCCTCCCTCCCAAGTTCTCCCAGGATGGAATGCTCTACATTTGATGTATGAATAGCAAATGAACAGCAGAGTAGGAAGCCAGTGGCAGTGAAGCCAGGTCTCAGGTCGCTTTCATGAGCAGAGCTGGGGCTCTGTGCCATCTGCATGGACCTAGATGTTACACTGTCCTGCCTTGTCTTCAATGTGAAGGACACGAGCCACTTGAAGCCAGAGACACTCTTACTCATCCTGATCGTCTTAACACCCTAACAAGTGAGGGCAAACTGGCGCCTTGAGGATTTCTGAAAAGATAAGCCAATAAAGAGAAAAACTCAGTCATAGTGCTGTGGAACTGACACTCCTACTTCAGCAGAATCCTGTAAATCACAATCTTGGTTTAGCAGTACGTAGTTGGGAAGCATTGAGCCCATTGTTTTTTGGATGCATTGTTTTTTGGAATGGTGGCCTTAGTCACCTTTGTCCTTTTGCTTCCTGAAACAATATGATTTAAAAAAAAAAGTTGTGGGGGCTGGGAAGGTGGCTCAGTGGTAGAGTGCTTGCCTTCCATGCATGAGGCCCTGGGTTCGATTCCTCAGCACCACATAAGCAAAAAGAAAAAAGCCAGAAGTGGTGCTGTGGCTCAAGTGGTAGAGCGCTAGCCTTGAGCTGAAGAGCTGAGGGATAGCACCCAGGCCAAGAGTTCAGGCCCCACGACTGGACCAAAAAAAAAAAAGTTGTGCAGTCAGAAATCCAGTGGGAATTGATTTATGCTGGCATATCTATGCTAGCATAGAGCTACACAATCAATTTCTTAATCTGGCTGGCGGCCACTGTGGGAAATGTTTGATAATTGTGTGGGCTGCATTTTCTAGATTTATAGTGGACCAGAGTTTTTGCTTTGAGTCAATTCTACCCCTTCACTCCAGATTTCATTCTGAAACAGCTTACCTGTTCTTCACTAAAACCATAGATACACCACCACCTTACCTGACCTAAAATTCCACTTCCTGTTAACTGGAACAATCCTTTCTGGAATACCTATTCTGAACAAAATATATTTTAAATATATATTTTTAATATTGGAAGCATTAGAACATGATCCAAAGCAGGAGGATAAAAGGAGTGAACATTTGTGAGGAGAGAATGACACTAGGTGACCCTCCTGTTTTTATCTAGGGTGGGCCCCTGTGGGACTGTTAGAAACTGTTAGAAAGTCACTGGCTTGAAGAACCTGAGCCCATGTGGAAGAAACAGTCTCTGTTTCCAGTGGAGTAACTCCTGGGAAAGAGATCCCCAAGCTCTTTAATTATTGGTAGCTGAGCTATAGTCGGGAGCAGGTGGAAGTATACTTCAGGCAGCCTGGCCAGAACTAATGCCCTGGGGCCTGGGGAGTGTATACTAGGAATTAAGAGTGTGAAGAACTGGTGATCCTCAAGTCTCTGAAAATGTCCATAAAATCAGACAAAAACACATTTGGAAAAACCTACCACTAACTCTCAGCAAGAAGAGTAAAAGTCTACATAGAGCCTTTGAGCCTTTCCCATGGCAAGCTGGCCTCTAGGTGGATAGGCCAAGAAGAGAAGGGCTTCCTTTCCTCCCAGCTGCTATTCTAGGGCTCTGCTTTAGGGGTGTCAGGCCTAGGGTTCCAACTGCCCTGCCCTAATCTGATCATAGGGTAGAGGTTCCCTGTTGGGAGGAAGCAGTGTGAAAAGCCCTAGGATTACCAGTGTACAAAGAGGGGATGCCACTCCAGAAGCAGGTTGCTGCCCAGCCCCTAGGGAGAGGCAGGCCTTACAATTCTAGTCAGCCTGAGGGGATTGTTTCTAGGTACCAAGAACAGAAAACCTTGTGTCTAAGGAGCTTGTCAAAACTAAAACTGATCTTGGTGGCAAGCAATTCAGTAGGGGCTGATAGAATGGAAACTATGACAGAGGCAAAAAGCAAAATGGCAGAGCCAGTTCTGTTGAACATTATCAGACATATCAATAAAGTTTTTTTAAAAACCAAATGAAATTTCTGGAATTGAAAAAATATTAACTGAAATGAAAAAAATCCCTTAGAAGGGAGGGGCGCAATAGTAGATTTGAGTTGGGAAAAAAAATCAGTGAACATAAAAGACAAACAATATAAACTACAAATTTAAAAAAGAGCTCCTTAAAGAAATAAGATATACCACATGTGGACCAACAAAGAGAAAGACCAGGAGAGAAAAAGGAACCAGAAAGAAAAATCTTAACTAAGCTGAAAAATCCCCAAATACAATGAAAAATATTGACTAACAAACTCAGAGGAGGATAAAGAAGAGATATAAGTACCCATTGGGATTCAAAATACAAAGGTAAAATGATACAGCTCTGTGGTTACAATGTAGCGTTGCACATGTACATGAAAGTATACAAATTTACAGGCAAAACAAAGCTATGGCAATACAAGTTAAGGACAGCGGTTACCTCTTTGGAAGAAACATGAGAGCCTCTAGATTGCTAGACACGTTCTGTATTGTGGGTTAGCAAACTATGGACTGTAGTTACCTTTTTATTCAGAGAAGCCCTACATTGTGTGTGTGTGTGTGTCTGTCTGTATGTATGTGCATGTGCATGTGCACACATACTGGGGCTTAAACTCATAGCCTTGAACTTACACTTTATTTTTCCACTCAAGGCTGGCTCTCTACTACTTGAACCAAACTTCCAGTTAACAGCTTTTTCCTGGTTGGTTGGAAAGAAGTCTCTCAGATTTGTCTACCCAGGATGGCTTTGATCCTCAGATCTGTCTCCTGAGTTCCCAGGGTGACAGCCATGAGCCGCCACCACCACCTAGCTTAGGGCCCTACATTTTCTACATCTGGCCCTTTATAGAGAAAGCTTGACAGCCCTGCCTTGTTGTCTACCTTCATTTGGGGAGTGATTGCAGTGGATGGGAGCCAACATGTGTGCATGTGCATGTGTACACCACACACATATTTTCACTGAGCTGTATGAGTTAAAAATGACTATTCACTTATTTTACTGTAATAAAAAATACATTAACTTGTGTGTTTAGTTTCTTGTAAACACCGAAAGCAAACTTGCTTGGCATTTGCTTGAATATTCTTATATGAAAACTTTGGGTTGTCTCCTTGATGCTTTTGTAGCAGTTCATACAGAGAAGTTACCTAGTCTCCTTGCAGCCTTGGACAACTGAATTATGCTCATCAATGCCCTTTAAAGATTTCTCTGTGTGTGTCTCTGAGACTCAGAATGTATCTTCCTGAAAAGATGATTTCCCTCACCACTGTCAGGTACTGGGACTATGGTCAAGTTGCTTCCTGCATTACTTCTACCATTCAGTAGATGTTGAAATCAACCCCATTGAGAGCAAGCTTGCCTGTCTCCATCCCACTTTGTCCTTTATTTCTTCCCTATTCTTCCTTACTGCTTTCCTGTTCTTTCCTAGGTTGCTTTCTAGTTCATCTGTGTGGTTTTGTTCCCTGATGTCATATAGTTTGGAATGTTCCTTCCATTAGTCACCAAAACCACTGCTGAGTTTCAACAAAGCATCAAAATATGGCCCTCTTCTCTGGATTCTGGCATTCTCTTAGGTTTTGCCTATGAAGTGCTTTTAATAATTGAAAAGAGGGGGGAGGGAAATGGAGGCATGTCTCAGTGGGTAGAGCACCAGTTAATGAGCAAAGAAAGCATCAGGTACCAAGCCCAGTCTCGCAAAAAAAATTAAAAAATTTTTTAAATGCAGAGTAAGAAGTCAGCGTCTTTTTCTCTATTTTGAACATATGAAAACTTTATCATAAACTGTAATACTTCTCATTAATACAGTCTACAATGAGGTTTACATTGATTTTTATATACCTCAAGTGTCATAAGCTTCAAGGTAGATCTAAACTATCTTACAACAAATACTCAAATCTGTGGCGTCACAGAGGCTATTGTGAAATTCTTTTTTATAGTTGTATTTATTAGCACATTATATTGTGCATGTTATAATACATTATGTTTTACATATAGATAATTTCAAGTCAAATTTGCCCCCAAAAGCTTTTGATTTTTAGGTAGTTAACTTACTTCCTTTCTGTGCCTGAGAAGCTGCAATTTAAAAAGATACACAATAATGTAGTTGTGAAACTTTTTAAAGCTGTGTGAGACAACTTTAAATTCAAAAGATGGAGCTTTAATTCAAAAGAATTAAGAGACCCATTAGATATTTCAGCTGCATTTTTATTATATACCAGATGATCATGCACAAAATTTACCTTCTTAAGTGCTAAAATACCACTTTTCCAGTAATATTATTAAGGTATAAAGTAGGAACTTTAAATCAAGTTGTACTTTAATAGTAATAGTATATGTGTTTTTTATTTAAAGTAAGTTGGGCTAACTTAAATTTTTTATTTTAGATTTCCTGTTTTTTTTTTTTTGGGGGGGGGGTGTCCAGTCATGTGGCCTGAACTCTGGGCCTGGTGCTGTCCCTCAGCTCTTCAGCTCAAGGCTAGCACTCTGCCACAATGCCACTTCTGGCTTTTTTTTCTTTTTGCTTATGTGGTGCTGAGGAATCGAACCCAGGGCCTCATGCATGCAAGGCAAGCGCTTTACCACTGAGCCACTTTCCCAGCCCCTAGATTTCCTGTTTTAAAAGTAGAGTCTGACCAGGTACCAATGGCTCACACCTGTAATCCTAGCTATGCAGGAAGCTAAGGATCAAAGCTCAAAGAGCCAGGGTAGGAAAGTCCACGAGACTTTTTTAATTTTGATTAAGTGATTACATAATTTCCCAAATTTCACAGTATTGTGGGATAGTGATGCTCAGTTAAAGTCACAAACACATTGTAACTTTCCTGGAGCAAATTGTCTACCACGGTTATTGTGAAATTCTTAAGAGTCTACCTTCAACCAAAACCATGATAATCATCAAATCACTGGGGTAACAGCAGTTTTACTTACCAGGCTGTCCCTCTGAGGACAGTGAGCATGGTCAACAGCTCAGTACACGTCTGTCATGTTTGTCTCTGAACAAAACTGATTGTGGCTTATTAATAGTGGGTTTTTGTTGTTGTTAATTTTGTGCCTATAGTGGTGCTTAAAGTCAGGGCCTCATTCTCTGGCTTATCTTTTTTCACTCCCAGTTGGTACTCCATTCCTTCAGTTCCCCCAGTATCTTTAGTGAACACTTCACCTTGGGGAACACCTTAGAGAAATGTTTGTGAAGGAACTTAGTGCTGTTGGCAGAGCAGAGCCTTGGAGATCAGCAGAGAAATCCTGTCACCACCAAGGTAAAGCCACTGGCATCTACTCAACACACTGACTTGCCACAACCACACGTAATCCAAACTGTAAGCACTGGACCCTGGTAAAAACTTCCTTGGGAAAGATTTTAAATTAGCTATGCTAAAGCTGAATACAAGCAGCATTAACTGATATATCATTTAAATATAGTGTTTTAGAACTTGAAGCATATAAATAATTCTCAACTACGTTTGGTAATGCTCATCCTGACAGGACACCTCTGCGTACCTGGCTATGAAGTGACAAATGGAAAGGTCTCAAGATTAAGCACATGGAAAATTCTCTGTACTATCTTGACAATTTTCCTGTATCCTAGTGTTTTAACTTTATTAGAAAGTTTAAGAAAAGTATATAGCAAGGTTAAAATAGGCAATTTCTTGCTATTAATAAAAAAATTAGTTGAAATTTCTGACCTAAAAACAAAACTGTACTAGAGGAAGAAAAGGTGTTTAGGACTATTATATGCTTAATTGTCATTGATTAGGCTTTTGGGGGACAGTATGGGCTTTGTAGGCTGTCACTCTGCCACTTGTGCTACATCTCCAGCCCAACTTTCTGCTGGCTGTTTTGGACGTACTGTAGACTCTAGTGAACTTTTCTGCATGAGCAGGCCATGAACAGCAATCCTCTATATCTAAGGCTTATTATTTTTTAAGCCTGATTAAATTTAAACAATTTGTTAACAACTTCTAACTGCTCTTAGAATTCAATCCAAAATCCTGACCACAGGGTCCAAAATAATGTGGCTACCACTTACCTTCTCACTTAATTTATAACACTTAGCCTATTTCCAGTCTTCAACACACAGCTTTCTATTCTAAAGCCTATAAAGCATCAAAACTTTCCCATTCTGCCCTTATCTGGTGGTATGGCTTGTACTGCAGGGCGGCCAAGCACCTCTAACGCCTCCCATTTTACTCATGATTCTAAGTCAGCAATCTAGACTGATATCACCTGGGACAATGATGCATCTAAAGTCAGCCATCAATTAGACTCATACAGGTGACTAGTGGCCATGCATCTGGCAGTTAATGCTGGCTGTCAGATGGGCCAAGTCTTCCCACTAGGGAAGCCTGGGCTTTTTCACATGGTTGCAACAAGGTCCAAACTTGAGAACAGCATTTATCTGATCAAGTTACAAGACTACTCCACATACCAGTAGTAGGTAAGAAGGTTGCGTCTTGGATGGGAAGAACAAAGTAAGACTATGCAGCCATCTCAATTTGACCCTACTGCTGTTTTTTATTAATTCACCCTTTAAATACCTTTTTCTGTCAAGTGCCAGTAGATCATGTTTGTAGTCCTAGTTATTCAGGAGGCTGGGATTGGAAGATCTCAGTTTGAAGCCAGTCTGGGCAGGAAAGTCTGAGATGCTTTTCTCCAGTTAACCACCAAAAGTCAGAAGTGAAGCTATGGCTCAAGTTAAAAAGACTCAAGGATAGTGTCAAGGCTTTTAGTTTAAGTCCCAGGACTAGACCAACAATATGTGTGTATCCTTCCACCCGCCCGAGTTGAGACAGAGTTGGCCTCCAACTCGCATACCTCCTGCCTCTGCTTCCCATGTGGGGGAATACACGTATACACAGAGCCTTCCCCAGTGCTTGCAGTTGTCCCCACTAACTTTTCCAACCCCCATCACCTCAGGATTCTGTTTTATATCCCTCCCATCACCATAGTTACCCATTTTTCACTGTTCACTTACATTTTTCCAGTGAGTTAGGGACTAACCTGTCTGTTTCACCCCTAAAATCTAGAACACAGGCTCTTAAAAAACATGCAGGCAATTCACACACCTTATTTTACAACAGGGACAACAACTAAATTATTAATCCAAATAGTAAAAGCACTTTAATAATTGCATTTCAGGAAAAACAATCTAAATGGAAATAAGACTTTTACTACAGGCAAGAAAATGAAAGATCTACTTTTTCAGGTGCAAAGCAGAAAAATTACTGATTCTTTTCCAAGTGATTTAAGTTAGAGCTTCAGTTATCAACTGTAATAACATTAAGATAGTAACATTAAGTTTAGAAATGAGTGGTTTATTGAACAAATCTCTTGTCCCATTTTGTTAGGGAAGCTTTGCATGGGAAAGTTCAAGGACTTCTATTTTTCACTCCCAGTGTGTCAAGGCAGTCAACTTGTCAGCCTCTAGTCCCAAACACCAAACCACTCGAACTCACAGCAGGGCTCAGGATGAAGCTGGACTATTTGGACCCTGCCTGTTCCCCATCAGACACACAGAGGAGGCTGTGCTATAAAGAACGATGTAGTTTATTCAAAGACAGATCACATCATCAGAATATTTTTCCATTTTATTTTATTTTTTATGAATGGCAGATCTACTCAAGATAATTATATTCAGTTTAAATAAAGACTTAAAAGACTTTTACATACAAAAATGTACAAGTTCAAACTTTTGTGTACTGAGTTACAAAACTTGAACAGGCATTTAATAAAAGAGCACACTTAAGAACATTTGACCATTTGTTAGCTTCTAAAAAGTACTGAAGTTCTACAGTAGTAGAGGAAGCTGTTACATACATTTATGATTTAATCTACTGGCAGTTTTACTTAATGTAAGTTTTAAAAAAATCATTGCTATTCAATGACTCTCTAGATCAGCTTTAGAATCATCTCTCAAAATCTAAGTCAACCAAAACATTTCAAACAAAAATTCCAATTCATAAGAATTTAACACTAGCAAATATAGCAAAGCATCAGAGTAGCAGCGAACCGATTTTCCAAAATGGCTGTTAGCTATCTAGAGGAAGAAGGTTATCTTGGAAAATTGTACTGCTGTAGGAAGCAATTTAGTGCCTGGGCTGCAGGTCCTGAGACTGCATAAACCACATGGCAGTCTGTGATCCCTCAAGTTTCAGAGGACTGGGACTCAAGTCTATTTCTACCCTTTACTGAATGTGTAGGGCCAGCAATATGACTTGCAAATCTCAGACTGATGCTTAGAATCTAGAGAATCGAGGAATAAAAGAAAGAAAAAAAAATATAATGGGGGAGTGGAGGGGACAGGAAAAGGTAGAAGAGAATTAAAAAAAAATAAACCAACCTGCTAACACCAGGTTGTGGTACCTCACAAGTCACCTATTAAATAAGATAACTGGCTCTATTGGAATACAGAACCAAGAGCAACACAAAGATTATTCCAAAGTGGTTCACCATTCACATCAAATCTTCCTAAGCTTTCCTAGACATCCGAGGAAAATACAACTTAAAAGCTAAGACTCCCAGTGGTGCTGCGCCCCAGATTTGTAGCACTAGGTCTGCTTCACTATGTGAGAGAGCCAGTGGCGGATGAGCAGTTTCCACATGCTGCCGAAGGCATGGCACTCACTCTAGGATGGGGGAAACACGTCAAACAGTGCACTGCAGCACTCCTCACCTTTCAAACTCATAACAGTTCAATAATATGCTGCTAGAAAAGCACTGACTCTGATGTTCATAATATAAACTTCAATTTGAAGCAACAATGTTACACAGTTCAGCTGTTATTATCAACCTACTCTGTAAGTTTATAAATATACAAATTAAAAATTAATTTCAGAGTAACTAAAAGTTCTCACTGACTTAAAATTGTCAAATTGCTAACTCTCTCCTAACTAAGAGAGAAATACAAGTGGAAGCTGAAGGATAACTGAATACAAAATATAATTTGTCATTCTACCTAAAACCTGAACTTTTAAATCTTAATATTTACGGAGAGAATCACAGTTCTCATCCACAATATGCGTCAGCCATCAAGTTAATAATATAGTAAAACTTACTATAGCATCAATAATTTATGTAACACTAATATGTATATCCATTTTGTCTTGTGTGTTATAGACTTAGTCCAGAATAAAGGCAGAGCTGATTAAAAACTCTAGGGTTAGAACTTACCTGTAAGGCTGAATTAATTTTTTGTAAGGCTACTCACTAGCTGAACAAGTTGTTTTAACAAATTGAAAGAGGAAAGAGATTCCTCTAAAACTCACTGGAAAAGGGTCAACCTCAATTTGTATATATATATATATATATATATATATATATATATTAAAAAAAGTACAAAGTATCTTTTGCTCTTGGTTAGAAATACATAGCAGAAAAGTAGATACTAAAACTCTTGAACATAATGTGAATACTATTTTCTCATTGCCTTCCATTATATTGGAAGTGACAGTCTCACGCACAAAAAAAAAAGAAAGAAAGAAAACCTCTTTCCTACATGGGATAGTTGTGTGGGAAGTTGTATGTGTTACACAACAGGAGGCCTCAGTCTACTAGAAGTCCATTCTCCTCTGCAGCACCATGCAGTGAATTTGGATTCCAGTAGCCTCTCTACTGCATACGTCAGAGCAGACCTTTTGCCCCTCACTACCACACTTTCTGTACTCTCCCAAGTAGAATTCTATGGCTCCCCATCAATTCTCTAAACTTTCTGCTACCAAGTGCCATCTCTAACATGATTACTCAGCCTGAAGATTTTTAAATCAACTTCATTTTTTAAGAGAGTAAGCTCCTAGAAGGGAATAACAGCTAAACTCAGAGTGAGATCACAGGCTACTCACAATAGAGTAGGCAGGACTGCTACTAGACAAGGGATGCTCCAGACAGCTCACAGCCAATCCTACAGTATGATCTCAGGGGGAGGAGCAGCAGCAAGGAGGAAGCACTGCCTTTCCTTTTGCTTTTTACAGGAAGAAGCAATATAAGCAATTGAAGAAAGCAATTTTATCTGTACATTCGCAATCGTTTTCTAGAAGTATTTACCAAGATGCTTTCTTTGGTGAATCCTTGAGGATGCATAAGGTAATATTTACTAAAATGCTGTAATGAACTATTATAATGCTTAGGAAAGCAAATTAACAGAAATGGTAGTAAATTACTAAAGTATTTGCATTAAAAAAGAATCTCAAACTTCTTCAAAGACTCTGAAGGAAACTAGTAAGAGTAATTCCTAAAGTTGGTTAAATGTTTTATGCCAGGTCTGCAGTTAATGATTTGAGGAGGACCAATTTAAATGATGTATATAAAACCATTATTTAACAAAGAAATTCCTAATCAAGATGTGAGAGGCAAATTTTTTTAAGGGAGGGAGAAAAGACCTTATCTTCTTAAGAAAATTCTGCAATAACCAGAATCTCTGTCAATACTGTCAAATGTATGTGCACTTGTTTGAAAAACTTGTTACAGTTATATTTACATTTTTGGAAACATCCCTTCATGGCCATGTAACGTGTTGTATCTTCCTCTTTGCTTCTGGGGGCTTCAGGATAGTCTAGTAAAATATAAGAAGAAAACAGTTCATTCCTACAGTTCTTTTTCATTTCAAGGACAGCTAATAAACATTTAAACCACCAAAGTTTACTACTACTATACTAATAGAAGATCACTGCTGCCACCTAGTGGGATTATATGTTGCAAGTTTTGGGAAACAATAAGCCTCCTCTGGTTTCCATGTTTCTTTTTTTACAAATGTATACACATCACTGTATACTTAAAAGATACCTGGGCTTAGGCCTTATCCCACAACTAGTAAAGTCAGAATACACAAGAAGCAGATGTATGAGGCTGTGAATTCTCTGATTTGATTTTCTGGAGTATCCTTAGGTGAGCCACATGGGGGCTAAGAAGTACTGATTGTTTTAGACCCATTTCCTCTGCCTACTCACCTCTTCTTTCAACTTTACAATCCATACCCAGTGAGATATCTTGACAGTATGAGAAATAATTCACATTGTATGTAAAACGTGTGTGCTTATATCTCAAAAAGTCTTTGAGGCTCTCTCATTACAGTATTTGAATTAAGGCTTATTCTTCTAGCTCATTCCATATACTGTTCCTATCTCCCACAAAAGTGTTGAAATAAGAATGGAGGCAATGTGTGTCTGGAATCAAACAGACTTGTATTCAAACTACATTCTGGTCCCTTATTAACCCTGAACAAGTTTGTATACTAAGTAACTGATATCCTATACTAAGCATATGAGATCCCAGCATCCAAATACTTCAATACAGTAGAATACAAATAACAGATTCCCTTAACTTCTCTTTCTCCAAAGCTATGTATGTGTGCAGGGTAAAACAGGAAAGTGGTAAATATAAGAGGAGATCCTAGTGTAGGTTTTTTTGCTGGTACTGGGGCTTGAAATCTGGGCCTGGATACTGTCCCTACGCTCCTTTTGCTCAAGGGCTAGCATTCTACCACTTGAGCTACAGTTCCACCTCTGGCTTTTCCTGTGATTAACTGGAGATAAGTCTCACAGACTTTCCTGCCTGGGCTGGCTTCAAACAGTGATCCTCAGATCTCAACTGCTGAGTAGCTAGGATTGTGGGCATGAGCTCCTGGTGGCTGGCTCTGGTGTGAGTTTCTGGAGAAGGAACTCAGGGGCCTGGAGCTTGCTAGGCAAATACTCTTATCAGATGAACCATACCTCAACCATCTGGTGTGGTTTTAAGGTAAGTTCAAACAGACTTAAGGTTAAAGACCAAATGCTACTTCATGTACGACCTTGGACAAATTACTTACATCGTAAATCTCACTAGTCAAGTTCTCTTTTTACTCTCAGTATTTCTCTCTCTCTCTCTCTCTCTCTTTTTTTTGTTGGTTGTAGAACTTGAACTCTGGACCTGGGCACTGTCCTTGAGCTCTTCAGTTCAAAGGTGAGCACTCTACCTCTTGAGCCACAACACCACTTCCTAAATATTTCTCTTTTTCAGTCCCAAGATAGTGGGAGGAGCTCATGAGAAAAACCAAGGAAAAGCACCTCACTCTAAGTATTTTAAGCAGAAATAAATTGACACGTGAATTTGTGAGGTGTGTGTATACACACATGCATGTACCAGGCCTATGGCTTAAACTCTGATCCTCTTGCTGCTTACTTGGCTTTTCTGCTCAAAGGGTAAACAGAAATAAATTGAGTACAGTCTCAAAACCAATAATCATCATGGATTTTTAAATTCTAGGGCTCAAACATATAAATAATTAGACACAGAAATCAGACAAATTAAAAGTAGGTGCCAGTGGCTCAGGACTTTAATCCTAGTTACTTAGAAGACTGTGATCTGAGGATTGTGGTTCAAAGCTAAGCCTGGGTAGGAAAAGTCCCCTGAGACTCTTATCTCTGATTAACCACCAAAAAGCCAAAGTGGAGCTGGGGCTCAAGTGGTACAGTGGTAGCCCTGAGCACAAAAGCTCAGGGACAACACCCAGGGACTAAGTTCAAGCCCTAGGACTAGCACACATACACACAAAAAAAAGAAAAAGAAAAAAAATCAGTTTATTAACAGGTCCAAGAGGCATTGCATTCAAACTGCAAAGTTAAATGGGCCACACATACGCTTTCTCTTGGGCACTGGTGAGCCTGAGGCCTGACCCTTTGGGTCTCCAGTACAGTTTGAAGAGGGGTTAGCAATGCATAGGCTCTGAGTTGGGCAGTAACTGCTGATGCAACTCAAAAGGCTGTGAAGGAGTCAAGGTGCATAACAAAGCAAGTGAGTCTAGGGAGTCCTAAAGTACCCCTAAGTTCCAGTGAGTGCTTCTGCCCTCAGAGCCATTATGCCTTCTCTTAGGATACCCTGTGGAGATAGGCCTTACTGGATAACCAGTGCTTCACGAATGTTATACTTGGGTAGGACAGTGGTGATCAACATGGCTTGGAGCCCCAACTTGTGGGCTGGAACCTCAGCTCTTGGCCACAGATGCCCTAGTTACAGGTATGGGAGCTGAAGGAAGCACATCTATCATCTAATTGTTTATTTCATGCATACATATTTACTCTGGATCCTCTTGGAGGTGCTGGATTTTGCGGTCTTGATTATTCTGCACAGGGGTCTTACATTTTACCTGCTTTAAAATAGCTTGCAGGGCCACTGGTCAGCCTTTATCTGGGAAACATATAATTAAGTGTATAATAGTTCTACTGGAAATTGTACATGCTAAGTATCCTAATATGGCCTTTAACAATCAGTGCAGTTTTGCCAGGTGCCAGTGGCTCACACTTGTAATCCTCGCTGCTCAGGAGGTTCAAAGCCAGCCTGGGCAGGAAAGTCTGTGAGATTCTTATCACAAGTAAACCACCAGAAAACCAGAAGTGGAGCTGTGGCTCAAGTGGTAGTACACTCGCCTTGAGCTAAAGAGCTAGGAGACAGCGCCCAGGTCCAGAGTTCAAGCCCCATTACCGACAAAAAGAAAAAAAAAAAATCAATGCAGTTCTGAAGGAAGAGCCTAAACTAGCTATATTGCCTTCCTGACAGAGGAGCCACCTGACCTCTCAAACTGTATCATCAGAGTGACCCTTCTTTTTTCCCCTCTTGCCCTTACCAGAAAGCGAAGTTAATTATCAAAATTCTGTTACAGTTTGATGAGGAGACAGGTTTTAATCTCTATACAAAGGATCCCATGTCTGGGTGTTTTCAAGTCATGGCCCACCAAAGAAAATAAACCTATCTTCAACTTACCAAACCAAAAGCAAACAAAAGCAAGCAAGCAACATAGCTGACCCATCTTGGGCTACAAGGTGGACTGCTCTAATTTTATACTTTGCATGGCAGCCATACACTACTTACCACAGCTTCTGCTTCTTCTTTAGGAGCAGCTCGCTTCAACTTCACAGGTGTAGTTGCAACAGGGGACAAAGGTGGTGACTTCATGGGACCTGAAAGACTTTTCCTATGCGTTAAGTCATGGTTTGGTTTATTGTCATTATTGTATTCCATCTTATCGTTCGTAGGCAAATTGGAAGACAAAATTAGGGGTGAAACACCTGAAGAGGAATTTGATAATTTTTGAAAGGCATTATTGGGAAAGCTTGCCTGAGGGGGAGGCTTGAGTCGGTCATTGTCTCCATTCTCTGTCCTTTTCACTTTGATGCATGTACTTGTTGAGTTTCCATCAAACACAATAAGGGGTCTTTTCCTTAACCCATCTACAGTGTTACTCCTGAAATCAAAGAAATGCACCTTTGAAAAATACCATCTGGGATGGAAAAACAATTTACTGGAATTCAAAGTTAAATCAATAAAGATTTACTGATGAGTCTTTTTTTTTGTCGGTCATGGGGCCTGAACTCTGGGCCTGGGTGCTGTCCCTCAGCTCTTCAGCTCAAGGCTAGCACTCTACCACTTCCAGCTTTTTCTGCTTATGTGGAGCTGAGGAATCGAACCCAGGGCCTCATGCATACAAAGCAAGCACTCTATCACTGGACCACCTTCTCAACCCGATGAGAGTCTTTTTAGTGGGACTACTAGAAACTTGATGTCCTCTGTAAAAAAAAATAAATTTCTGGGGCTGGGAAGATGACTCAATGGTAGAGTGCTTGCCTTGCATGCATGAGAGCCTGGGTCTGATTCCTCAGCACCATATAAGCAGAAAAAGCCGGAAGTGGCACTGTAGCTCAAGTGGAAGAGCACTAGCCTTGACTGTGTGCCCAGGCCCATAGTTCAGGCCCCATAACTGACCAAAAAAAAAAAATTGTAGTAATTTATTTTAAATTATAAAATGTTTATTTAAAAAGAGCTTTATTATACACATAAGATATAGCTATTTTTGAAACATCTATTAACCACTAAAAGCTAAAGCATAAAAGAGTTTCCAAGTAACAACAAATAATGGATTAATGATATGGTTATCTTGACCATGACATTTTAATTATTTTGGAATATTAACCCAGCCAGGCAGGAGTGGCTCATGCCTATAATACTAGCTACACAGTAGGCTGAGATCTGAGGATTACAGTTCGAAGCCAGTCAGGGCAGAAAAGACCATGAGACTCTTTAACCAAGGAGTAGAAGTATGGCTCAAGTAGCATAGCACCAGCCATAGGAGAAAAAAGCCAGAGAGAAGCCAGGTGCTGGTGGCTCACACCTGTAATCTTAGCTACTCAGGACACTGATCTGAGGATTGAGGTGCAAAGCCATCCCTGGCAGGAAACTCTGTGATACTCTTATCTCTAATTAAACACCAGAAAACCAAAATTGGAGCTGTGGCTCAAAGTGGTACAGCGCTAGCCTTGTGTGAAAGAGCTTAGGAGCAATGCCCAGACCCTTGTTCAAACCCCACAACCAAGGAAAAAAAAGAAAAAGCCAAATAGAAAGCAAGAACAAAACCTACATAAATATACCAAGACTAGCAACTTTAATAGGAAGCTATTTAAGTCTTCTGTTTAGCTTCTAAAAAAAAATCACATTTCCTTTTTTAATAGTAAAGGCAAATAGCATTCAATTGTGCTATTATAGATTTCTTGGGTTTTGTTTTTTTTTAAGGCTCTGGTCTTGGGGCTTGAATTCAGAGCCTGGGAGCTGTCCCTGAGTTTTCATGTTCAAGGCTGGCACTCTACGACTTGAGCCACAACTGTACATCTGCCTTTTGGTAGTTTGGAGATAAAAGTCTCACAGACTTTCCTGCCTCGGCTGGCTTCAAACCACAATCATCAGATTCTCAGCCTCCTGAATAGTCAGGAGGAGTGAGTACCAGTGTTACTCAATCAGATAGTTCTTTTTACAACAGATTTATGAAAAAAATTAACATGCTAAAAGAACTTGAGTAGTCATTCAACAAGAATATATCAGCCTTGCCACTCAAAGTGTTGCTCAAGAACAACAACATCAACACCCTTTTTGTTTTTGCTAGTCCCGGGGCTTGAACTCAGTGTCTCACTAGCACTCTACCACTTGAACCACAGTGCCACTTCCAGCTTTTCTGTTTATACATTACTAAGGAATCGAACCCAGGGCTTCATGCATGCTAGGCAAGCACTCTTAACACTAAACCGCATTCCCAGCCCCAACATCAGCACCCTTTGGTAGCTTTAAGAAATGCAAAGTCTAGGAAGAGAAATCAGCATCTTAAAACCAACATTTTAGCAAGATTCATAAATTGCCTGCCAAGCTCACCAACTCTTGGGTTACCAGAGTATCATTTGGTAGAAGATGAAAAATTGGCTCATATAGGTTCAACCCAAGGTTTAACACTGAAGTTGGAGGAACATGGTCCTAACTGACATGACCATGAGCATGCTACAGCACTTCCCCGAATCCCAATTTCTCTGCAAATAATAACCAGTTCAACGATACAAGATATCTCAGATCCTTCTAACTTGAATAGTCTCATTCAAGGAGCAAATTACAATTTGTGTGGGTGGTTTTGTTTTTGTTTTATGGTGTTGAGGGACTGAAACAGAGCCTTATCTATGTGACGAAAGCACTCTGTCATTTGAGCTATGCTCCAGACCTCCAAACTACAAATGTTTAACATAGAGCCAAAGATTCTTTCAAAAATAATACTAAGGGACTGTTATATGAAGTTTTGCTTTGAAGGAACCTCTACCTAAGCACTGAGAGTGTTTCTTTCCAGTGGCTTACACCTATAATCACAGCTACTAAGGAGGCTGAAATCTGAGGATCTCAGTGTGAAGCAGCAAGGGCAAGAAAATCTTTGAGACTCATCTCCAATTAACTACCCAAAAGCTGGAAGGACAGCTGTGGTTCAAGTAGTAGAGCACTAGCCTTGATCACAAAAGCTCAGGATCAGCTCCCAGGCCCCAAGTTCAAGCCCTAAGAGCTGCACACACACACGTGCACGCATGCATACACAGACACACACACACAGACACACACACAGACACAGACACACACACACAGTTTCTTACTCTCACAATGTGCTGATAAAGACAATATTGCCTGAATAAAAACCAAAAACAGAAGGTATATGCAACACAACTCATGAGGTTGTGACACACTAACATTTTTTTTCACCAACTAAGCAAGGAATTTTCCCTTATTTTTTTTTTTTAGTTGCTAAAAGTACATTGCCTGGTTCATTTTAAACAATAAGTATTTTTTTCCCTTAAGTTTAACTGGGGGAAAAATACAAAATTTTACATGTGTAAAATAAAAACTAGAACCACTAAAGGTACCTTTTAGTCTCATTTTTTATCTCATGTAGTTCTCTTTTTTTTTCCATCATTTTCCCCCATCGATTCTTTGGCAAATCCCGCTGAGGCAATGGTATAGCATGCTGGACATAAAGATCAGTAAGGTTGTCTTTGTTTATTCTGACATCATTTTCAACAGCTATGTTCTTCTGTAGGAAAGGAAACAAAAATAATTTCAAAACAAAATCTTCATTTAAATAACTTCCTAACATGGTAAAACATGAAATAGCAGATGATAAAACCATTTTCACAATCTTGAATCTTTTGCACACACACTTTCCTAAGTACACTAAGGCACTATTAGATGTGGTATTAAAGTACTAAAAATATTGGGTTCTGGCTCATCTAGAGACAGTGATCACATTTCCTCACTCTAACAAAGACTGCTGTGCAAGAAACTAGTTAGCCTTCCCCTCAGATTGCTGAAATGGAGGCTGTCTCATTCTATATGCTATGCTACATGTATCTCTAACCTCTAATGTAGAGGTTGTTGTTTGGGGGTGGGTTTTTTTTTGGGGGGGGTAGAGATTGATGCCAGAGTTTTGTATATGTTAAGCAGAAGTCTTTTTAAGGTACAGTCCAGCTCCTGTTTTGCTTTTTAAATTGAGAGTCACAACCAAGATTTGAAATACCACAGAAGCAAACTGCAGTTCACTTTCTGATGACAGGAAAAATAAGGCCTTCCAACAGCCTTCCCTTCCCTTCCAAGTACCTTCTATATACTAATTCCTACCAAAATAACTTCAACCATTCTCCTGTCCTAATTTCTTCTGGGTATCAAGGAAAACATACAGCCAAGGCAGAGGAATAGTTGTGGAGACAATGAAAATACAACAGGTTCTACAACTCACAATCCAGAACATATTTGAACAAGTGAGAAAACATAGAAATGTCCTCAGTCCTTTTTTTTTGTTTTAAGACAAAATTTTCTTTTTGCTCATACAGAGTACTACTGCTGATTTTCATCTAGCATTCACTCAGAAGTTGGGTAATCCTAAGTGATGTCCCTTAGATTTTTTCACTCAAGGCTGGCATACTTCCATTTGAACCACACCTCTACTTCCAAATATTCTGGTTAATTGGAGATTAGTCTCTCATACTTTCCTGACTTCAAACCTTGATGCACTTGTAAGTGTAGCTTTTACATGTGAAAAACTGACCAATATATGTCTCTCCCATGAATAATAAAAGAGCAGATAGGATCTCTTAGTCAATTACTAGGAATAAGATCATAACGGGACACATACAACAGTGGGACACATACATCAGTGTAATTAATAAGTAGGAAAAATTTACTCTTCAGATCAGACTTCCTCACTATGACCTTCAATAATCAGGATATTTTATCCTTTCCATCCCTCATTTTTCTCATCTGAGAAATACTCTCGTAATACCTCATAAGGCTATGGTCCGAGCGATGAGATAATCCACCAACAGTAAGTGTCCAACAAATGTTCGGCTGTCACTACCAGAATTTCTCAGCTGATTATTATTTTTCACATGTGAGCTGGTTATTCAATGTATCCTATCAAGGAGCAAATTTCCTTTTGGTTATTGATATGAATTAGTTGTACAGGTGGTTTCATGGAGACATGTCCATAGACACACACAACACCAGGATCATATTCATCCCCTTTCTTTTCTCAAACCAGCCCTCAGATACCAGCCTCCTGAGTATCTAGGATTACAGGCATGAGCCACCAGGCTCTGGAGGTTCTATTGGAAAGCATGCCCGGAGGATTGACAGGCAGAAAATAGACTTCAAAAAGCACTGCTTTAGAACAATGGTTCTCCAAGTGTTGTTCTTGAACTATCAGCCAAATACTGGTTTAAAAATGCAACTTTTCAGCTACATTCCAAATTTACTTAACAATGATAAATGAGGACAGAGCCCAGAAAATTGTGGGCTCCCAACAGGCCCTTGACCATTCTGAAATGCTTCAAAGCTTGAGAACCATAGGTAGGAGGTCACTTTTAAAATGATATACTTAGCAAGAAAGCTTCAGATATAGTACTGAAGAGAAAACTACATGGAAAACAAAATATACCATATAAAACCTTATGGAAACTTTCCTTAATTCTACCACTTTAGCTTCCCTCCCCACCCCTCCCAACCCTTGGCTTTTTCTATTCAAGGCTAGCGCTCAACCACTTGAGCCACAGCTCCACTTCAGGCTTCTGGTGGTTACTTGGAAACTGGAATCTTGTGTACTTTTCTGACCCAGCTGGCTTCAAACCACGATCCTCAAATCTCTGCCTCCTGAATAGCTAAGATTATAGAAGTGAGCCGTACCAACACCCAGCAACATTTTTGTGTTTGCTCCCTATCACCGGCCACAGCTGGTGACAAGCGTGCACGGCATGGAGAGCCCAGAATTCTCCTAACTCTGACATTTATACCTAGTGACTGATGTCTTTAAACGCGACGAAATGCACCGCTTCTCAGATGTTTTCCAGCCTCGAGAGCCCACGATTTCTCTTCTCCAAGTCTACCCTCCTTTTCCCCCATACTGCTGCTGGGGCTGAAACCCGGTGCCCCGGCGCTTTTGTGCCTCTGGGCTGGCTTTGAACTGCGATCCCCCAGGATCTCCGCCTCCAGGGTCGGTAGGGTTACAGACACGAGTCCCTCGGGCGCCCGGGTCCAATTCCTACCACTCCGTGCTGCGTTCCCCGCCGGTCCTCCGGCCCTACCCTCACCCACCGACTACGGGGGGGGGGGGGACGGGTGACCCTGATGGATGAACTCCGAATCCCGGCAGGTCCCGATCATCCAGGCGCACCTCGGTCGGCGCGGGGGGCGGGGGCAGGGCAGCCCGGACCGGTCGGGGCAGGCGGAGGGCGGCACAAACCCGGAGGGGCGCGCCCGGGGCGGGTGGCCTGTCGTCCCCGCGGACTACTTGGAACCGACCCGCCCGCTTCCCCCCCCCCCGTCCTCCGCCCCAGCGCGTCCAACCTGCTCTAGGGTGAGGAGAAGAAACTCCTGGGACAGCAACTCCGGGTGCAGCAGCAGTTCCGAGTCCGTGGAGCCGCGGCCGCCTACATCCCCCGCCATGGTTTGTTGTCGCCTGGAGACCCCCGTCGACTACCCACAGAGCTCCGCGGAGGAGGCGTCCCGGAAGTGACGTCCGGGGGCGGGGCCTCTACTGTGAGGTCACTCGCCGCGCGCCGCGCACCCGCTGACAGCTTTCGTGATGGTGGGAGGAAGGGGGCGCTGGCGCCGGCCGGCCCCGCGCTTTCCAGTGTGGAGGGGGGAAAGCGGGACTTTAGATGAAGAAAGGATCGGTGTGCCAGGAAGGGGCGGGGAGGGCGAAGTTCACCCAGCCTGCCAAATCCTGTCAGTCAGATCCTGCGGGAAGAGAGGGAGAGACGAGTCCCGCCACCTGTCCTGCCTGGTCGCGCCTCCTCTGACGTCCCAGGGCCCTGGGGCCAAGGCCCAAGGGCTTCCCAAAGGGATTCTCGGGTCAGCCTGGAGCGTGTCGGGCCAATAGGGTCCTCTTATGTCTGAAATTGCCTTGGTCCGTCTTTCCTTCCCTCCCTCCCTCCCCTCCTCTCCCTCACCTTCCCTCCTTCTCTCCTTTTCTGTCTTTTGTATCGTGTACCACCTAATTGGCCTGTAAGCTACAGACTTTGTCGCATTCATTCGCTGTTAACTTGCGTGCCCGGGACTTAACCGCTCAAATATTTGTCCCCTGTTTAATATCGGTTTAGGATTAAGAGGGATGAATCAGATCCTAGTATTGTATACCTATAGAGACAGGTCACCATGAAACCCTCTGAGTACAGCCAATACCAATAACAAAAGAGAAAGTTGCTCCTTGAAAGGATACATTGAATTACCAGCTCACACGTGAAAAATCATTACCTGAGAAACTGGTCGTGATAGCCGAACATTTGTTAGATATATTTACTATTGTTGGATTATCTCATCCCCCGGACCAATGAGGTCTTACCAGAGTGTTTCTCAGATAAGAAAAATGGGAGTTCGAAAGGATAATTTCCTGATCATTGAGGTCGCAATGAGGAAGGCAGTCGGATCTGAAGAGTAAATTTTCCCTATTAACTACATTGCCGTAAAAGTATTTGGAATAGATTGTATGTGTCCCATTTATGATTAATTCCTAGTAATTGACTTGAAATCCTATCTGCTCTTTCTTCATTAATGGGAAGTCATATATCCCCAATTTTTTCACATGTAAAAGCTATACTTGAAGATGTGCTGAATATTTGTTTGAATCCTCTATAATAAAAAAAAACCATTGCATTGTCTACAAAAAGTGAAGAACTCTGATCCAACAGATAACATGACAAGAGTACTGGAAAAGTAAGTGAAGTTTTGAAATAAGGTACTGCTGAGAAGTTTTATATTTCCCTTAATAATTTATGTGAAACTTGATATAGAGAAACAATTTCAGAGCTGAGGGAAACAATTCTCTCTCAGAATCAGGTGTTGATGTCTCATACCTGTAATCCTAGCTACTCAGGAGCCTGAGATCTGAGGATTGAAGTATGAAGGGCTGCTTAGGCAGAAAAGTCTGAGACTACCAAAAAGCTGGAAGTGGAGTTGTGACTCAAGTGATGGACATCAACCTTGAGAAAAAATGCTAAGGAACAGTGCTCAGGTCCTGAGCTCAAGTCCCAGAACCGGTGCATGCACACACATAGACACTCAAAAAAAAAAAAAAAAGAGGCAGTCCTCCAAAAAAAAGCTATTTGCTTGATTACTTTCAGACCAGGAGCTGATCTGAAAGAGATTGTGACTCTGACTTCACTAGAATATTGAAACTGAGTTGAATATTCTAAGTTGGAATTAAGTATCGTAGCTTCATGGTATAACCTGATATTCCATATTAAAAATCTGATTTGCTGTCACTATAATAATACTAAAATTAGCATAAGTGATATCATTGTCTCTGTCCCCTCCAGTGGAGGCACATGGCAAAAGCAGCTGCCTTAGAAAAAGCCTGGGTTTGTAACCAGAGCTACGTTCAGATATTATTCGGCTACATGGAGAGCATAGGTAAGTTTGTGTCTCAGCTCTTCTCTTCCTGAAGAAAATGTCGAACTAATACCTTCTGTGAAGAATAATCAAATAGAGATAAATACTTGGCTTGGAGTAGGTACTATTGCTTCAATATCTAGGTTTTAGAAAGTTATTGGGCCATAGGAAGCAGTCTTGAGACCAGGAGAAATAGCACACTTTGGGGTGGCCCAGATCTGGATTATAACACCATTTGTACTCTAAGGATAAATATTTCATCCCTCCTTGCTGTAGCCTCCTCATCCCTGAGATTGAATTAAAATGTTACCTCACAGTTTTGTAAAAAGTGGAGCTAAGGTGATTAGGTCAAATGCCTTTCCCATTGCTTCCATCAGGTTGTTGTCATCCAAGGAGAGAAGTGGTAGGGGTGATGATATAACAGGAAGCCAGTTTAATAGCCTGGAAATCCAACTACAAGTCCTTGCTTCCTGTGTTTTCTGAACCTATCACCTAGCCTGAAACTCAAATGTTCATCATCCAAGACTGGTATGTGGAAAGATAAGATGTTTTTTCTTTCTAGTTTTTTTTTAACTTGTTCTGGTTTAAGAGGTCTTTCTTGCTTTGGCCTGAACTTTCCAGAGAGAGTTTTTTTTTAGGGACCTATTTTTCAACCAGATGCAGCTTCATCCAGGGTGTGTGTCTGTGTGTGCATGCATACTGGTACTATGGCTTAAATTCAGGTCTGGGCAGTATCCCTTAGCTTTTCTTTTTTTAAAAAAATATTTTTATTGAGATTAAGTGATTACATAAATTTCACAGTATTGTGAGATAGTGATATTTAAAGTCACGAACACATTTTAACCTTTACAAGGCAAATTGTCAGTATCCTGGTCTATGTTTGTGAATTCCATGAGCTTTGACAGTACAACTATTTCTTCCTCATTGGGTAATATGTGCATTTCTTTCCTTTTGCTTAGTGTAAGCTGTTCCCTCTTTCCCTCACATTCCCTCCCTCCTGTCGCAGCCCTTGAGTTGCTTAGTTCGTTTTCTTCAATGTCCAGTGCAGCTGATGGTCCCCTCTTATATATTTCTCCCTGTTTCCCTCTGATTCTGTGCCCTCCTCCTACTTCCCTCAGATGTGCATATATATATATGAGATATACATCATATCTCCTTGAATTTTGGATTTAACATTCACCTATCAGAGAGACTGTGCCACTTGTCTCTCTGATCCTGGCTTACCTCATTCAAATGATTTGTTCTAGTTCCATCCATTTCCCTGCGCATACCATTATTTTGTCCTTTCTAATGGCTCCATAATATTCCATTGTATATTGGTACCACAATTTTTTTGATCCATTCATTTGTAGTGGGGATCCCTTAGTTTTTCATTCAAGCCTGGTGCTCTATCACTTTGGCTACAGCTCCACTTCTGGATTTTTGGTGGTTAATTGGAGATAAGAGTGTCATGGATTATTTTGACCCCACTGGCTTCAATTCTCAATCCTCAGATTCTAGCCTTCTAAGTAGTTAGGAAGTGTGAGCCACTGATGCCCATGCAGTTATCTTTGGGACTCACTGTTAAAGAGTATGCTCAGCACATATAAGCCCCTGGGTTCAAACCGCAGCACCCCCCCTAAACAACAACAACAACAATCCAGTTTTAATAATTTATTTCATCAACGTTGAACACCAAATTGTCAAGAATATTTTTAAAAGCCATTTGCTGGTGATACATGCCTGTAAATCCTAGCTACTTAGGAAGGAGGATAATAATCTGAGGTTTCTGATTTGAAATCTGCTGGAGCAGACAAATTGGAGACTCATCTCCAATTAACCAACACATGCAGAAGTGGAAGCAAATGGTAGAGGCCAGCTTTGAAGAAGCTGAGTGAAAGCATAGGCCATGTGGTCAAGCTCTGGTACTGGCTTGTGTGTGCGCACACACACATACACACTTTTTTTTTTAATGGTTGAATGTTTTATACTTACAGAAAGACAAAGAAAATAGCAGAAAGCCAGATAGAGCTACTCCTTGCCTGAAGTGTATGCACTCACAAAGAAGGTAGGAAGGTGGAAAGTAGTCAGCAATGGTAGAGAATGCTTTGTGTCTGTGCATCTCTTCATCAGCCTCCATTTTGTTAGAGCTTATCCTTTTCACATAAAATACTTCTACCATATCTGGCATGGGCCCAGAAGCTATTTGACAAATATTAATAGATGAAATTAATGATTCCTTTAAAACCATATAATTGATACTTGTTCTTAAATGTAACAGTAGAAAAATGAGCAATTTAAAATTAGCTTATGCAGGGGCTGGGAAGGTGGCTCAGTGGTAGAGTGTTTGCCTTGCATGCCTGAGGCCTTGGGTTCGAGTACTCAGCACCACATAAGTAGAAAAGGCAGAAGTGGCACTGTGGCTCATGTGGTAGAGTGCTAGCCTTGAGCTGAAGATCTGAGGGACAGCGCCCAGGCCCAGAGTTCAGGCCCCACAACCGACAAAAATAAATAAATGAATGAATGAAATGAGCCTATGCAGATGTTTGAGCACGTTGTGTAATCTAGGTGGTTACCTAGTAGTGCCTGTCATTTATGACTTAGACTCTTGAGTAAGTTTTGGTAGGTGTTTTTAGGTAGAATCCAGTGGAGCTGTGAATCAAGCGGCAGAACCCACCCCCGAGTGAAAAAGCTAAGGCCGGGAGTTCAAGCCCCAGGGCCGGCCTAAATAATACCCTGCAAACCTCAGGGACTGGCGTTCAGCCCTGGGCCTGGACCAGCGGGGGGCCTGCTGGTCCCCAAGGCGCAGCCCGGTCGGGACCCAGCGCTGCTAGGCAGCAGCGGGACGCAACCTCCGGGTCTCCGTCCGTCCGTCGGTCCGTTGCTTTCACTCGTCCACCCGCGTCCGCCCGCGGGGCTGCGTTGAGCCTCCGCCTCGCCCACTGCGGCGCCGTCAGCCATGGCGCGGGGGACGGAGGGGGCCAGGCCGCGTGTGCGCGGAG